TTGTCTGTCCATAATTCTGGCCTTTTGCGGTCAATAACATCACGTAAACGGCGCATATCACTCGAATAATATTCCTTCCAACCTCCAAAAAAAATTATTGTATGCTTCATAACATCCGCGAATTTTAAATAAGTAATTCACGTTATTTTTTAGACAGAGTTAAATACTAGCGCTAACAAGTTACCTCTTTTTTGCATTTTGTCTATTATTAACTCAACTTTCCATATCGACTTGGCGAAGTGGCGGGTAATAAAATTTTTAAAATTAAAATGAAACAAAAGTTGCTGCTTTTGATGAGTTAAATGCGTGTTTGAAATTTTGGAACTTATTTCTGAGCACTGTATGTTTAGTAGACTTTTTGTTGTTATGTATTTTATAAAGTATTTTTCCTCCGTCACATGGTGTGAGGATTTATGCTTCTACAGGGTATTCCTTATTTACAAAGTTTTGAAATCTTCCAAAAGGCGTCTCAAAAAATGCATTTTTTGAATGCATTTTTGGCTGCAGCAATGCAATTTCCGGTTTGTCAGAAACACAAAGTAGCCACATTTTTTACAAAAAATTTTTGAAAGAGAATGCAAAAAACCGCATTCCGATCCGTCTTTATGGAAAAAATTCCGAACTTTTGTGCTTCATTGCCTCGTTTACTTTGTAAACTATGGTTCAAAAATGTTCCATTGCGAAAATACGGGGGTGTTAAAATTTTAGGAAAAACAAGGAAATTAATTAATATTTTCGAAACCGCTTTAGATATTTCAGTGATATTTAGTAAGTAGCGATACTTAATAAAGGCGCATGTTTTTCAATACAAAGATAATTTTTAGCTCCAACAGCGGCGTGCGTAAGAGCACTGACTTTGATATTTTTAAAGAAAAAAATGGAAATGGCACGCCAAAGATTTTTTCTCCAAATAAAATTATTTTTGATATCCCTATTCAATTCGAAAGATAAGAGCTCTCTTGAATTTTCGTCTTGCGCTGCGCCGTTTTTGAGTAAAACAAAACGTATTGTCCCTAAATAATAATTAATGTAATTATTGAAGCATACAATTTTGCAATAAAGCGTGTGACCTTCTGTCAGTGGTATCTTCATAATGTTGCGCAAAATCCACAATTTGAATCGCATATTCTGTTCACGGACGAAGCTAATTTTACAAGAGTTTTTCAAGACATGCCATATAAAATTTTCACAACAATCATTAATTTGTTGGCGGATGAAAATCCACATGCTATAACGGAAACCCATTTCCAACACCAATTTTTGGTCAACGTATAGGCAGGAATAATTGGTGACCACTTTATTGGACCATTCTTCCTGCTGAGACTTGATGAACAATCTTACTGTAATTTCCTTTAAGAACAATTGCCTTTACTGCTTGAGGATGTTCCGACGGCAATAAAAAGCAAAATGTGTTACATACACGATGGAGCGCCAGCACATTTTAGTGTAATGGTTCGCAATTATTTACAAACTGTTTATCCAAATCGTTGGATTGTCCGCCAATGTTCCCCTACCTCAATAGCTTAGCTTTCTTTTTATGGGGTCATATTAAGATGCTAGTGTACAAAAGCCCCATTAATACTGTAGAGGAATTAAGAAAAAGAAAAATTGCAACATGTACTCATATACAGGGTGTTTTTAAATGAAGTAGCAAAAATAGTACCAGTGAATGTAGAGCCTAAAATAAGAGGATTGAAGTAAAAATACCTTATATGAAAGTTGCACCCCTGAAGCGATATACCCTCTTAAAGGAGGGGTTTGAAATTCACATTTAAATTTTTTTCTTTAACGTGAGGAATGCTAGAGACACGAAGCTTGGTATGAGCATCCTACTAATAAAGAGACAACTTTTCAATATTTGTTCGATCATTGGCGTATTTTATATGAGGCAAATTATTTATTATAAATCTTTATTGGGAACACTGATTTATTGCGCAACTTTTTTACCTCTTGTAATTTTTCGATAAAACCGATAGTTTTCTATTAAAAAAAAATTAGCTGCGTCATCGTTCACTAAAGGGGTAATTGCGAAAATTTGTAAAAATAAAGTAGGCGGATGTCATAACAAATAAATTATTATTTATCATATTAATAAATTGACACTTTCTGTCAATAAGCTGTCAATAAGTTAATAATAACAAGAATAGTTTGCTATTAATTAATGAAAAATGTTTGGTAACTTATGACTATGAGACATGTATTAAGGTAAAGTTATTTATCTGAAATAAAATTTAATACCAACGAAAAACAAGAAATGCAAAATTAAATTTATAGAATATTATCGAAATAATTTCCATTTTGCTGCAAGCATAACCTAATACGTCTGTTGAAGTTATAACGCACGCGCACAAACAGATCTTGGTTATTGCGAAGGTCATCTGCTGCCTGAAATATTCTTAAGATTCTTAAGCGTAGTCCTTCTAAGGAGGCAACAGAAGTGGCATAAACAAAACTTTTTATGTGTCCTCACAAAAAGAAATCCATAGGCGTTACGTCAGGAGAACGTGCAGGCCAACAAACAGGGGCATCACGACCACGACCAATCCAGCGATTCGTGTAATTTACATTTAACCATTCTCATATATCACATCACCTGACGTGTAGCGAGGGGTACATCCTCAAGTATCTAATATTGGAAGAGTTTCGTTCAAAAATCTAACTCGGCCGCTTCAAGCCTGTGTGGAAAAATAAAAGGAGCTACTAGTGTATTTCCTGCAATTCCCATCCAAACATTTAAACTGAAATTAGGTTGACATCTTGAAACAAATATTTCATGAGTATTTTCTTCCTACCATGAATGAACATTATGAAGCTTTACTGCACCTACTCTAGGAAAATTTGCTTCATCGGTGAAAAGTATATTCATTAGGAAATTTAAGTCATGCCTGGAAATATTAATGTACCATTGACAAAAATCCACGCGGTTAGGTAAATCAGGGTCATTCAATTCTTGCACGGGTTGATGGTGAAGAGGGTCTAAAAGATTTTCATGAGCTACATTCAATTCCACACAAGACTGTGAGAAACTTGCAGTTGCCTGGACACCTGTCTTGTGCTTGTACCACAGTCTTGTTCTAGATGTTCCAGTATAGCTTCCTCAGTTTCAACAGTTTGGACATTACGCTTTCTTCCGGCATCCTCACGATTGGGCTGAATTTTACCAGTTTCGCGAAACCTTCTTTCCACCGAGGTCAATGCTTGTCTATGAGGAATTGGTCGGTTTGGATATCTTTGGTGGTATAATCTTACTGCAGCGTTACTATTCTGGATTCGAAAAACATTTGGAGCATGTCGACATATTCATTATTGGTATAAATATTATTTGCCATAATTATTCTGATAATAAATTAATCAATTGTACAATTTATTTGTTATGACATCCCCCTATTTTATTTTTACAAATTTCCGCAATTACCCCTTTAGTGATGACGCATCTAATTTTTTTACTAGAAAACTATAGGTTTTATGGAAAAATTACAAGAGGTAAAAAAGTTGCGCAATAAATCAGTCTTCCCAATAAATATTTTTAAAATAAATAATTTGCCTTTATAAAATACGCCAATGATCGAACAAATATTGAAAAGTTGTCTCTTTATTAGTAGGATGCTCATACCAAGTTTTGTGTCTCTAGCATTCCTCATGTTAAAGAAGAAAATGAAAATATGAATTTCAATCCCCTCCTTTAATAGGGTATATCGGTTCAGGGGTTCAACTTTCATAAAAGGTATTTTTACTTCAGTCCTCTTATTTTTGGCTCTACAATCACTGGTACCCTTTTGCTACTTTATTTAAAACACCCTGTATAAAAAATACTCCGGGGATATTTCAACGAGTACGCAATTCCATGAGAAGGAGGGCGGAAGCGTCATATTAAGTGAAGGAGGCCAATTTCAACAATTTTTGTAATAATAGTTTGATATCTGTTGTGATGTTAATGTCGTATGTTGTTAATTGTTGTTGTTCATTACACGCATGTGCCAGTCTGTAATGTATTTAATTTATGCTATTAAATTAAAATAGTTCTGTATTTTTTATTTACTGAAAAACGGCGCATCGCAGGACAAAAACTCAAGAGAGCTCTTATCTTCCGAATTGAACGGGAATTTCAAAAATAATTTTATTTGGGAAAAAACCGTTGGTGTACCAGTTTTTTCTTTAAACGTATCAGTCAGTGTTCGTACGCACGCCACTTAACAGTGACAATTTTTAATTCTAAAATTATGTTTGTATTGAAAAACATGCGCCTTTGTTAACTATCACTACGTACTAAATATCACTGAAATATCTCAAGCGGTTTCAAAAATATTAATTTACTTCTTTTTCCTAAAATTTTAACACCTCGTATTTTCGCAACGGAACATAGTTTATAAAGGAAACTATCATTAATTTTCCATGCAGAATCACACCCTTAAATATTCGCATAGCATTAAGGAACACCCTGTATAATATCGTATCTATCACTTTCTTTCTTTATACAAGTAATTAATTCTTGCCAGTTCTGCTCTCGATTTTATCAGTTTTACCATATAGTAATAAATTCTTTTGTTTTGAACATGTAGCCACATTTTTATAAAAAATCATATTTTTACCATATTTTAGTAAAATGATAGGCGTGTTTCCTAGTTTTATTCATTTGGAAAATTAATGAAAAATGAACAGTTGTATTTACTTCAATTTTAAATAATTTGTTTCATTTCGTAAATGATTGTATTTACAAAGGAGAGACTGATACATACTGTTCATACATACTGTTACATACAATAAATTATTAAAAACTCAAAATATTATAGATGATATTTAGTAAGAAACTTATAAATAAAAAAAAATTAGGAACGAAGGCCTGATATTTCGATACTTTATATCAAGTCATATAATATATGTTTTACTTGTAAATAAAGGTTGTTTATCAGAGATGGCGCTATAGTGATACTGTATTGGAAGGACGCCTGCACAGCGTCGCGATGCCACTTTGCCGCATACTATTAGTTTTACGGTTCCCACGATGTGACGTCGTGCCTGTTCTCCGATAATAATGTTATTTACAAATTTTTAAATGATCTCCGTATTAAAAGTTTGTGTTTCTAGAAAGTTTCTATAATTCATGTGAGGAAAAACAAACAAGTAGAAGATACTATGCTGATTTAGGATATCATATAAATACTTGTAGGTAAGTAAAATAAGGTTAGGTGAAATTATTTTTCTGGCAACATCTTAATCTAAAAACAAATAAGAGTATAATAGCTTTATTGAAATATCAAGAATTAAATACATACGATCAAAATAATAAACTAGTAATAAAATACTTGGAAATATCTGCCGTTTTTATTTTACAAAGGCTGCTGGCAATTAATGGATTAGTAATCTGGTACCTGGTATATATTAATTATGAACAGAAAAATTAAAAACTCTACATATGTTCAGGAACTATACTAGATGTAATTTATTAACCATTTAAAAATAAGTTGAAGTATTGTAGTGAATAAAAAACTGCATGTAATGCAACTACAAAACTATATTAACTAGTATTAAAATAACTACTTACTACAATAAGTTTTATAGTTTTTCTAACACAATGACAATTTATATTTGATTCAAATTGGACCAATCAAAATCTACTACAACTTATTTAGGAATGTTTTCTCCATTAAATACGCAAAATTATTGAATAAATATTTTATTTACCCATACTCTGACTGTAAATTTCTATGACTGATATTATCTATTTTTTTTTTGTAGATATTTTAATGTTAAAAAATTTCTTATTTTAAGTTTATTTTTTTTTGGGGGGGGGGGGGGGGGGTGGGTGTCCTCCCAATAAATTTTTTCGATTTGAGCCCCTAAATGACCGAAAAAATTAGCTTTTATTTTTTATATTAAATTAATTTTTAATTCATTTTTGCTTAGATTTTCCTATTGATAAAAAAGAATTTTCGCAAAAAGCATGTCAAAAATGACGATCGTGTTTGGTAACTGTTATATTAATTACGTGTACCTAATCAGCAAGGAAAAATAATTTATTTTTTTGTTCGTAAGCCATTAAGTAGGTATACGAAAAAATGAGAGGAGTAAAAAATTCTAAATGAAATGTCTAGTTTTTCCGAAGTCAATTGAAGAACCAACATCTTCAAGGTATGTACCAAGTTCGGTCGCTAAGCAGCAACTCGGCATTGAAATATTTGAAAAACTTGTTTCCATATTTATTTAGCCATACCCATATACAGGTCTGGTCGAACTAAATGTGGAGGTGGTAGAAATGTATACGCTCAGTTGAAGAATGAGCGTGCGGGCAAAGAGCAATGCGCACCGTTTTTCTGGTCCATTGCGTTGTCAAAATTCAGTTGTCGACTAGTCGCCTAGCAGTGCAGTGCGGGAATGCGGAATTTGGTGTGATTCAGATAATTTTAATTTATTATAGGCACCCTTCTATTAATCATTCATATTACAATTGCGAAAGGGAAAAATAAGAGGGATATTTGGTTTGCTAATATTATTACAACATGGCTTTTGAAATGGAACAAAACGAAATTTACCATCAATATAATAAAATTGTTTGAGGACATAAATAATTAAAATATGTTGTTGGTCAAATGAACATATAATAGAAATTTTCTACACTTTATATACAAATTATTATAATTTTCTACCTTTAGCAGAAAACTTTTTTAGGGACGCCCATGAAATTCATTAAATTTGATTGCTCGTTTTTTTATGCATGTTCAACTGACTTCGGAAGAACTATAGTATTAAAAGCTATTTTTCTTGTTGGAATTGGCTAACGTAGAAAATAGTTGTGAGAGAAATAAAATCAAAGGGTGCTAATTTCTTTCATTCAAATACATAAACCAGAAAAAAAGACTACCAAAAAATACCATTCAACTAGTTGTTAACGTGTACCAAAATTAAAATTTCTAAGTTTAACCAGTTTCGTGAAAAAAATAAAAGCTATTTTTTTCGGCCATTTTGATATTTGAATATTATCTCAGGGGGGGCTCAAATAAAAAAAAATATGTTGGAAGTACCCCCCCTAAAATTACTTTCTAAACACCTACTTAAAATATTTGCACATCGTTATGAAACACCCTGTATTTTAATTTAATATTGAATAGTTATTATTGCTTTAGTATCACAATTACGAGTAGAATTAAATTACTCATTATCATCATTTCACATGGTTATATGTAGTGTAATATAACTAAGTAATCGTATTTAATTTTTTTTATTTAGTTTAGACATATGATACCATTATTTACTGCCAAATGTGAATCTACTGAAATTTTTATTATACAGGGTGCTCCAATTAAAACTTTCCACCAGGAAAATATCGGAATTAAAAAAAAAATACCCGAGACACGTGGATTTTCTATTCAAGGGGGACACACGATGGCGCAAATTTTGGTGTCTTGGAAGCTACCCCTTAGGCAGGGGCGTAAAAAAGCAAACTTTAAAGGGCGCCCTATGTTGAGTGACACCTCATTTTAAAGCTTTTTCAATTCTGCTCACAGCGACATACGTCTTTTTAAATTTTGATATGGATATGACAATAAAATCATCACTTAAAGAATCAATCAACTGAGTGGCCTCCCAGATGGCCAGATCTAGACTTTTTTCTATGGGGACACTTAAAGTCAAAAATGTATGCAACACGACCGAACTCACTTGGGGAGCTTCGTCGGCGAATTGTTGAAGATTGTCCTCAGATAACGTCCGAAATGCTTCGATTCGGAAGTGGAGCAAAGATTTTATTATTGTATGGAAGCGGAGGAAAATCAGTTTGAACATTTAATAAAATAACATTCTTTAATTGTGTGACACTCAACATAGGGTGCCATTTACACCCTTGTCTAAGTGGTAGCTTACAAGACACTAAAACTTACGCCATCACGCGTCTCCCTTGAAAAGAAAATCGACGCGTCTCAGGTTTTTTTTTGTATATTTTTTTAATTCCGATATTTTCCAAATGGGAAGTTTTAATTGAAATACCCTATATTATCAGCTTACGTATTTTTACTCCAATTTAAAGGAATTAAGCTAATTCAAATAAATTTAAATTTTTTTCTAAAAAATATTCTTTCAATAGATTTAAAAAAATGAAATTGTTTGAATTAGCTTAAACCTTTGAAACAGAGAAAAAAATTATAGTGTTCTATTATCTTAATTATCTTATATAGTGATTCAAAAAACAAAACCAATAATGTAAAAACCAGAGGCGGCTGATAAAAATTAAAGTGGTTACCATTTGACAATAAAGCATGGGACCCATAGGTACTGCTTTTTAGGGAATGATTTTTCTCTCAAAGAAAACTTTTATGATGAAAAGTTTTAAATGGAATTTGCGATAAAAACTCGTGAAAAGAGTTTTTTTCATCAACTGTCAACAGTTGCATCTATACAGGGTAGCCCGAAAACGTACCGCAAGGCATTACAGGGCAGTAATGAACTTTTTGGCAAAATCCAAAGACAGGTAAAGTTTGCTTCTGAGGGGGGCAACTTTTGGCGCAAAAAGCATAGCAAAATCTTCAACCCCCTTAGTGGCGGTGGCATCCCCCAAATTTTTTGAAATGGGAATGGGGGTCAAGTGGGGGGTCATTAGAAAGGACTTCTAACTCTCTATAAATCGATTCTTACTTTTTGAAAATCGATCCATTATTTTAGAAAATATGCAGCTTTGAAAATACGAACAATATTTTTGACGAGAAATGCGAAATTCGATTTAATTTTACTTCAAAACTTACGGTATTAGCTTGGTAAATTCCTTCAAAAGAATTCGCTGTTTTTTTTTTTGATTTGCGAATTCTTTAGCCTGATTTTGGTGAGCAAAAAATTGTCCGCTTTTTGTTTCGTATTTAGATAGGCCACAAGAAGTTGCTAGATAACTGTCTTGTGACTTGTAGTTGAAGAGTACCAATACTGCCGAGTCTTTTAAATTGATTAATTATGGTGTACTCAATTCCAGAAAGAGTAGAAATTATTGAGCTTTTTTTCAAAAACAATGAATGCGGAAATCGGGTCGCCGAACTGTTCAACCAACGGCATCCTGAGAAACATGCGTCTGGAAAAATTGTTCGCGAATTGGTGGCCAAATTTCGCGAAACTGGCTCCGTTCATAACAAAAAGAGGCAGGTTGAAAATCCGGTACTAAATGAACCTACGGAAATAGCGGTATTGGGGCAAGTGGCAATGGATAGTACGCTGAGTACAATGCAATTGGCTACTGCGACAGGAGTGAGTCGTACAAGTGTCCAACGAATATTAAAAAAATACAAATTCCATCCTTATAAGATTCGGCTAGTGCAAGAGCTAAATGAAGACGATTTTGATCGTCGTTTGCAATTTTGCGAAATAATGACTGAACGAGCGATAAACGATAATTTCCTCTTTAATGTGTGTTTTTCGGACGAGTGTACGTTCTTCTTGAATGGTTTAGTGAATCGCCATAATTGTCGTTACTGGGCTGATACCAATCCAAGGATTTTCCATGAGACACACTCCCAACACCCCCAGAAGTTGAATGTATGGGCAGGTATTTTTGGAAATTCCATTGTAGGTCCTTTTTTCCTTCCTGGAAATTTGACAGGCGATATGTACTTGGATTTACTACAAAATGTCATCGACCCAGCTCTAACAAATATCATAGAGGACGACCCTGCTTACAATGAACACGAACTGATTTTCCAGCAAGACGGAGCTCCTCCACATTACTCGCTCAATGTGCGCAATTACCTAAATGAGACGTTTCCAGGACGCTGGATAGGACGAAGAGGTGCAATTGAGTGGCCCCCTCGGTCACCCGACTTAAATCCTTTAGATTTCTTTCTCTGGGGGCACATTAAAAGCAAAGTTTACAGCACTCCACCTGATACCTTGGAAGATCTGCGAGGACGAATCATTAATGTATGTCGCGAAGTAACACCGCAAGTGCTCCAGAATGTTCGACAACGGTTTGAAGACAACCTGTATCATTGTATGCAAGTTGGCGGACAACATTTTCAGCATTTACTTGACTAATACCGTAAGTTTTGAAGTAAAATTAAATCGATTTTCGCATTTCTCGTCAAAAATATTGTTCGTATTTTCAAAGCTGCATATTTTCTAAAATAATGAATCGATTTTCAAAAAGTAAGAATCGATGTATAGAGAATTAAAAGCCCTTTCTAATGACCCCCCACT